AGTGGCTTAATCATTGGCCAAACACCTGCCCCTTGAGCCACAGTGTCACATTAAAAAAAAAAAAAAGACATAAAATAATGGTGCATCTTCTAATCAAGAAATCTCAGGTTCAGTAAAGCACAGTGCATGCATACTCCTGGACACGGTGTAACATCCACACCGAGGTCGCTCCCTGCTCAAGAGGCTTGCCTTTAAACCAACAGAGAGCAGACTGCTTTCTTGCTTCACAACACCTTCAGTGACAAACGCTATTTGAGATGTCTTGGGTCCCATGCAGGTGTGCAGCCCAACACCACTCTCCACTTCCTCATTGCCCTTTAAAAACATTTTAACACAATGGAAGTTTTGGCTTTTGTTTTGTTTTGTACCAAGTAACTCAAGTGCACACCAGGATTGATTGCTACCATATAGGGAAAGAAACGGGCCGCCCTGGTGCCTGGAGTCCCTCTCAGCCAGGTGCCCTGGAGTCCCGCTCAGCCAGGTGCCCTGGAGTCCCGCTCAGCCAGGTGCCCTGGAGTCCCGCTCAGCCAGGTGCCCTGGCCTTTGACCCTGGAGTCCCGCTCAGCCAGGTGCCCTGGCCTTTCATTTGCAATGATTTGGTCATCTTTGTACAAGTCCTAAAAATAGACACAGTTGAGTTGTGTTTGACTTTTAACTCTATGCAAATGAAATAATTCTACAGGAATTGATTTGTCTTTTTTTTTTTTTCACTCAACAATGTAAGGTGCATGGACTATGCTTCTCTTCAATATTGCTATATGACACCACAGCATTTTCTCAAATTATTATACATTTACATTCTCACCAGCAGTATAAGAAAATTTCTCCTGCAGCCCTGGTATCCCCTTAAGGTACTGGTTCAAGTCCCAGCTGCTCCACTTCCCTTCCAGCTCCCTGCTGTGTCCTGGGAAAGCAGCAGAGGATGACTCAAGGCCTTGGTCCCTTGCTCCCCACCCCTCCTTTGGGAGATTTGGAAGTAGCTCCTGGCTCCTGGCTTTATACTGCCCAGGTCTGGCCATTGTGGAAGTTTGTAGCATCCACTAGCAGATGGAAGATCTCAATTGTTCCTTCTTTCTCTCTGTAACTTTGACTTTCAAGTAGAATAAATAAGGCTTTAAAAATTTATTTTGAAAGAAAGAGAGACATAGATCTTCTACTTCCAACGTAACTAAAATAGCTGAGGCTGGGCTAGGCAAAATTCAATCCTGGCTCTCAAATGTGGGTGCAGGGTCAACTACTGGATCCATCACCACTGCTTCCACTGCAAGAGGCTGGACAGGCTGCTGAGGTGGCATTCCAGGCACAGGTTTGGGCTTCCCCAGGGGCATCTTAATCACGGTGCCAAATGCCTGCCCCTGCTTCTCCTTCCTGAAGTCTACATTTTAGTGGGCTTCAAGGCATGGGTCTAATTCTTCATCTCATCACATTGATTTGCAAGGCTTCAAATTCCAACCACATGCCAGGGGCTCTTGTAAAAGGGCCTTAACTCTAGTGTTCAGTTTTCCCTATTACACAACAGTAATGTCACATGTGGCTACTGACCACAAGATGTTATTCAGTGACTATCTCTTGCAAGGACTGTCAGTGCTTGCAGGCCTAATCCAAACTGAAGTTTGAGTAGGTTTAGAGAAGTTCCCTTTCGAAGTACTCTTAAGGACTGGGAAGTAAGCTCATGTTCCCATCAGAAATGAACAAGGGACATGAGGTCTGGTTTGCTGTGGGTAGCCCCCTCCCCTGCAGGCCAGGAAACAAAGCCAGCCATGAAGGGAGGCAGATCTGTGTGAAGTAACAGAGGTGGGGCCTTAGGAAGATGCACTTAAAGCCCACCTGACCTGTGATTTCCACTAAATGTGTAAAACTTTTTACTTAAAAGTTTTTATTTTGAATTTGAAAGAAAAAAGACTTCTTTCCATTCACTGCTTTACTCTCCAAAGGCCTACAACAGCTGGGGCTGGGCCATATGGAAGTCAGGATCCCAGTTCTCCAAGGTAGGTTGGCAGGAACTATTCGAGCCATCCCTTTCTGCCTGGACATTAGCAGTTTGCTGCAATTTGAAGCAGACTTAGGACTCGAACCCAGGGACTCTGAAAAGCGATGTGGGCATCCCAAGTACAGACTCAACTGCTATGCCAAATCCCCAACTCAACATTACTTATTTTAAAAACCACAGGGGGTCAGTTTTCTGCCTTTCATGGGGAAAGCACTCCCGTGGATACAACCTTCAAATTAGTATAAGCCCAGAACTTTCTTGAGCATCAGCTATGTCCACCCAATGCCCATGTGGTATTGTCAACTGAGTTTATGATCCTTGTGCCCTGACCCTCTTCATTTAGAGTGTTCACCACAATGGCCACCCTGCCCTCCAGGTTGTTCAAGCCAGAAACATGCAGGCTACCCACCATTCCTCTTCGCTGCTGCCCCCATGTAATCCAATATGAAGTCCAGCCAAACTTCCTCTTAGGTGCTCATCAGACCCACTCTCTCCATTTCCACTGGGCTCTGCCCCCTCCGGTCCATGTCTTCTCTCTCATGGACAGTGATCTTAACTGACCTCCTGCCTCTCACCCTCACACAGTCAAATCTGTGCTCCTTACAGCTGCCAGTGACCTAAAAAGACAAAACTCCACAGTATTATTTTCTACAGCCTAGGCTTGAAGTAATGGGCTGTGGAGCAAGGCAGAGGAATAATTTTCTTACTGCTGTACAACAAATGATCCCAAGCCTTAGTGGCTTCAAACACTTACTGCTTCACAGCTCTGTGGCCCAGGAATGTAGCATGGCTTAGTCAGGTGCCTGTGCCTCAAGGTCCATGCTTTGTCCTTTCCTGAAGGCTCAAGCAGTGGCAGGATCCTCATGCAGGGTACTTGTGTGCTTAGGGGCAGGATTCTGGTCCTTGAGGGTTGGTGGAGACAACTTCCAGTTCATTGACCTATGGGTCCCTCACGGTGCAGCTGGCATCCATCTTCAGCTGTGCCCTGCAGTGCTTGGCATAGACTAGGCTCAGTTTCTGCTGTTGTGTCATTCCAATGTTGAAACGAAGCCCAAGACGTAAATATGCTGCCATGTCTGTCCTCTGGCAATGTTGGAGACTGGACCACATCCCAGCCCTGTTCAATATCCTTCAGTGGCTTTCTTCCCATTGAGCATGGAAGCCAAACTCCTGCTTGCGCCCAGGGCCTGCCAACCGTCCCACCTCACGCCATGGACTCTTGCTTCATCACACTGCCTCAGTCCATAAGACTGGCAATGTGAAAACCAACTTGAACATCTGCATGTTTTTGTAAAGGAAAGTCCACATCCACACACATGCAACACCGTCTCAAATCAGGCTAAGTCACTGATACTTGGACTTCTAGGACCTTTTCACTACAGTTTAGGGATTCCATTGTCTCCAGTAAAACACCACAGCAGCTAACTAAAGAGCTCGCTAACTGCACACTAGAATGCATTTGGGTTCTAGGTTTACCTGCACAACATGGGAAGGTGATGCTTTCAGGCTGTTACCAAAGGATGCTTTTTACAGGGTCTCAAATATATGGACTTTAGGAAACATTCTTGATTATCTTAAAAAACTCATTCTAGAGTGTTTCTGATAATTCTTGCCAGAAATTGTTTTGAAGAACATTTCATTATTTTAAGGTAAGTTTATATTTATTTGAAAGGCAGAATGACAGAGGTATCATCCATCCATTGGTTCATTCTTCAAAGGCACTCAAAAGCTATTGCCTGGCCCCACACCAGGGACCTGGGACACGAATGGGAGGTTGGGTGGGGTTCTCCCTTTATCTCCACCCTGTACCCCAGATACAGGAAAAAAAAAAGCAGTAATGTGGAAACAATAGTCTTACCCACTTTCCTGTAGTCCTTGACCCTTTGTGCCCTAATCAACTATGTAAAGATTATCAAACTAAAGCAATTAAAAAAAAAAACAAAAAACAAAAACGGCTTCACCAGGTTGAAGCCAGGAGCTAGGAACTTTATCTGGGTCTTCCATGAGGGTGGCAAGAACCCAATCAGAGGCCATCATCCATAGCCTCCCAGGTGCATTAGCAGGAAACTGGACTGAAGTGTGGAGCAGCAAGAACTTGAATCTGTGTGCAATATAGGATGTAGGAATTGCAAGCAATGGTTTAATCTTATGCCACAATGCCCACTTCCACTTGTTTCAAGAGTATTTCTTTGAGAGGCATTTAGAGAGAGAGGCAATCTGCCATTATTGGATCATGCTACAGATGGCTACAACAGTCGGGGCTACGCCAGCCCAAAGCCAGGAGCTTCTTCTAGGTCTCCCAACTGGGTCCGGGGGCCCAAGCACTTAGGCTGTCCTCTGCTGCTTTCCCAGGAAGATTAGCAGTGAGCTGGACTGGAAGTGGAGCAGCAGGTGCTTGAACAGGTGCCCATATGGGATACTGGCATTGCAGGCAGTGGTATAACCCATTACTCTATAATACCAGTCCCATCCAACTTCTTCAATAACTGTAAATAAAAACCTGTCCAGTTTTACTGCTGTGCTCTTTTCCAATCATGCCACAGGGTATAAAGAAATAAGTTTCCTACCAAGTCACTGCTATTTTAAAAGATGATAACTATAGCAAGCATGACCTCTGATTTTTGATAAAAGGCAATCTATTCTGTCAAGTATTAAGTTAGTGTCTTTTGCACACTAAATTAGCCCTTTATTTGGACTTAATAAATCATTTGAATTTATTAGACAACTCAGTTCTTAACATCCCTTTCAAGATTTCAGAGCTGGGTCTTTAAAAAGTTTGAACTAGGACGTCACCAAATAACTAGTCAGGTAAAGACCTGTCCTCCCCAGTCAGCACACTGCAACAGATCCAGAAGAAATGACTGAGAGGAAGCTGACACAAACAAGGACGGACAAAAACGTACCATCCCGGGTCAGTCTGGCCTCTGACACTACACCCTGAACGGCACCCAGGATGAGCATCCCCATGTGTCTTCAGAGTGTAAATGAAAGACCAACACCTTTTTTTTTTGAAACTAAATACATTTTAATAGAAAACAAAATACAAAATAACTCTTTTCAGAAAACAGAAATATTTAATCCTTTTTCCACAATTAGAACTTGCTTTTCTCCTCAGAGCATAGTTTGATATGCGTGCGTATGTACTTAGGATTCACAAAGTGTTCATTAAACTGATATTGCAGTGCAGGAGGTGGGAGCAGATCACAGAAAAAAAGACATCATAAGAGCCACAGCTCTGTAGACATGGTCATCCGGAAATCTGCCATATTTTAATTTAATCTTGTGTGTTTTGAATTATCATAATCTTTCTTTTTTAGGGGAGAAAATGATTAATTGAAGTGCAGCCATGGAAAGAATCTTTCCCACCATTACTGCAAGACCCCAAGTGTTCTGTGAGACCCACCCGCCTGCTCCCAGGAACACACCAACCCGAGTGCTCAATCTATCACCTGAAATTTCCCTTTTTCCCAATACACTGTGCTACCAAATTCTCTGAATTCCCTGAACCTCAAAATTCCAAGTATCACAGCCAGTGCCAGGAATCAAACCTGAAAGGTAAAAGCAGAGAAGGCTCCCTCTGCCAGTGCTAGGTTTCTTCTTCTCAATAATAATAATAATTATAATAACAATAAAAAAATTCCTGGCTCTCTGTACTTACGGAAAAGGAAAGACTTTTTATTTTTTTTTTGCCAGGACCATTCCCTCCCCTTTCCTACTTCCCGCCCCCACATCCCTCCACCTGTAAAGACCTCCCTTCCACCCAGGGATGGGCTCGTGTGACACCTGTCACACTGCTTCTCCTGAGAGTGCTCTGCACTGTCCCCCAGCAGACCCAGCCCGGGGAGGCGAGGAAAACCGGACAGCAACAGGCAGGTATCCGTGTGCAAGGTCACAGTGGGCTCTCGGCCACAGCCTGAGCGGCCCCTGGATCACCTCATTCTTAATCTAGTGACCAGCCATCAGCACCCTCCCCACCCTCCCTTCTCGCTCCCCACTCTCCGTTTCCCTGCAATCCTTCCACACGGTGGGGCTCAGCAGAGGGAGGCCTGCCTGGGCTGAGTGTCCAGGAGGGCAAGAGGATGCTCTTTCAGTCACTCAGTGATTCAATCTCAGCTTGCCGCAGGACTACCTTTGGAGGCCGACCACAACTGCCCTAGTCCACTCCAACAAAGAAAAAAAAAATTAATGTTCCTGATTTTCTTGTGTGATTCCAGTCACCAGAAGGAGGTTACAGGCCATGAACTGCACGCTCAGAACGTTGCTCATCTGCCCACTGTACACGCCCACGAGCTCACTGGAGGAGCCGTCGGCAGGCGTGCTGCAGTAAGCGTTCCTGATGTCCCAGACACGCACGGAGTTGTCCATGGAGGCAGAGGCAATCAAGCTGCTGTCTGGACTGAAGCTGAGGCTGGTGATGTTGTCTGTGTGGCCTCTCAGTTCTTTAAAAAGGGTCCCGGATGCCAAGTCCCATAGCTTCAACCGCTGGTCTTCACCAGCAGATGCCAAGTACTTACCGTTGGGGGAAAAGGCAAGAGAAAGCACAGGGCCGCGGTGGCCCGTGAACAGCCTCACTGTGTTCCCCTGCTGAGTGCTCCACAGTCGGACGGTCTTGTCGGTGGAGCCTGTAGCTATGTAGCTTGAATTGGGGTGGAATTTGACACAGTCCACATCTGCCAGGTGTCCTGCAAATATCCTCAGCGGGTACGTCCGATCAAACGACCACAGCCTGGCGGTGCGGTCATGGGAGCCGCTGGCGAAGTACAGGCTGTACGGGCTGATGTCCAGGTCCCACACGGGATAGGCGTGTCCTCGATACAGCACAGTGTTAGTGAAGCTCCCCAGGTCCCAGTATCTGATGGTCATGTCTTCAGAACAAGAGAGCAACCCTGAGCTGTCTGTGAGGAACCTTGTGCCGTACACTGGTCCACTGTGGCCCCGCAGGATCTTCATCTCTGTGCCTGCACTATCATCCTCATCCTCCTGGAACCATTGGAGTGGAGTTCAGAAAGGAAAGACATAAGGAGAAATGGATTAGTGATCTGACAAGGGAAACCAAGCCAGGAAAAAGGGACTGCTTGGGAAGCAGCAGCCACCTAGCCAATGACAACAGGCTCGCCCTGAAGGTCACTCAAGAAATGATTAGCACTGTACGACTCAAACAGTATCTTACAATTTCCAAATTTTTCTGTAAATTTATCTTTCAGCTGTCAGAGAAATGTAAGGTTTTACAGAGTGACTGTAAATCTTCTAGGGAAGGCAAATTTTGATCAAAACCAGCTTCAGGTAGCTTTCATAGTTAATTCTGATATGACACATCTGGAAACATTTTCGTTAGAATACATGTTAAATTCTTTTACTGTTTTATTCTTTAGGCCTCTTCTTCATATGGCTGATTTTGGATGCCTGATGAGCCATGTTGCTCTATTTTAAAGAAAATTCTGACATTTTCACAACTTGCATGATGGAAGTTAGCCAAAACCAAAACCTAGAAACATGCAGTTATCAGTAAATTAAATCCTCCCCCACCCTGTGCCTAACCTAAGCTTGCTGGAACTTTCTGGAGGGTCTCAAACATTTCCAAGGTACCAAACAGGACACAGATTCAGAACTATTTTAACCAAAACCAAGCAACTCACATGATTCTTAAAAATAATTTCCTGTGTGTAAATACAGAAAAGAGCTACAATGGCATTTGGGGAGCAAGTTCCCTTCCCCACAAGTGTGCTGTTTTCCAAATCCATCCCCACTTCATTCCCTCAAGAACTCTTACTACAGCTGTAACTCTCCTGGAGTGCCTCAATCAGTGGATTTTAACGAAATGTTGAGGAAAGGAGTAAGAGGTAGTTTCTTGGAGCAACTCTCTGCTTGCTTCACGGTACGCACCTTAGGTCCTGGTAAAGAACCTTATTTTTCTAGATGAAAAATAATACAGGGTACTTTAAAAAGCATGTGGGAAGTGGAATTAAAAGGTAAATCAATCTTTGGTACAAATTTTTCTTAAGAATATGGAACACATCATGAGTTTGTGTGTCACCCTGGTGCAGAGGTCATGCTAAACTTTGTATCATTTCAGTTTTAGGATATGTGCTTCCCCCAGTGTGGGCATGGTACAAACTTGAAATCCACGACTATTTGGAAATCCAATACACATTTTCCATGAAACTTCTGAAGACTCTCATATTTAACTCCAAACAAAATGAATGCTTCCAGTATGTCCATATTGGAGAAAAAGTCAAAACACCACTGCCATGAATATTCAAACCAGTTATTCCAGACACTCAACATTAAAAACACATGAGCATGTGGGAGTTTACACTTCTAATAAGCACTACCAGGAATATTAACAATCTTCCTTTTAAAAGAGGTTACAATATTTTAGTATTTCAAGAACGGCTCATTGGGCCCGGAACAATAATCTAGTGGCTAAATCCTTGCCTTACATCCACTAGGACGCCAGATGGGTGCCGCATCGTGTACTGGCTGTTCCACTTCCCATCCAGCTCCCTGCTTGTGGCCTGGGAAATCAGTCAAGGACGGCCCAAAGCCTTGGGACCCTGCACCTGCATGGGAGACCCAGAGGAGGTCCCTGGCTTCAGATTGGCTCAGCTCTGGCCTTTGCAACCACTTGGAAGTGAACCAGTAGATGGACAATCTTTCTCTCTCTCATCTCCTCGCTGTAAATCTGACTTTCCAATAAAAATAAATATTTTTTAAAAGAATGAGTCATTGGTGTACCCTCAGGAAGTTTATATGAAGTCTATGGAAGCAACTGAGCCTACATGGATTACAAAGGTCCTTGGCAATGTGAGCTGGGGCCTAGCCATGCTGCTCTCCGGGGATCTTGAGGACAATCTTGGGCTTGTGGAAAAGCCCTGGCTGACTACAGACCTAGAAATGGAGAAACTAGAATGTTCTTGCTAGTTATCACTATCCGCTCTCTGCTGTCTCACAGTTTAACATAGACTAACCTTTCTTGTGTGGCTCGCATAAAAGCTTAAGGAAAATGATCATGAATATACCTTCAAACATGTACTTCTGTGCTAGTTTGCTAGCCCCTGCTCTAAGCCATGGGAGGAGCTTTTAAAAATCTATACTAGAGTCTACTCCTGGACTGGGAAGCACCACAAGCCTCAACTCAAACTCGAGGGTATTTTAATTTTGGATTGTTCTCTGATTACATGTCAGTAGACTATATAAAAAAAAAAAGCAAATTTGGTTGGGCTATGAGTGGGAGCAAATAAGTTGCTACTACCTATGCAAGATGGCAGCAGCCAGAATGGCAGAAAAAAAAGGTGGCTACTGCAAACAGCCACATAACGCACATGGAATATACATCAATTTTCCTGCTCCATTTCTGACTCAAAGCAGGTCACCCTCCTTAGGCAAGCTGGTGGCTCTGGCTCCCAGGAGGTCATTAAAATGTAGAACTCAGTAGAGTTTATGCTGTAAGAATCAAAAACTTGTGGGTCAGCATTGTGATACAAAGACCTAACCTGCTACCTTGAAATACTGGCAACCCAAATGAGAAGGCCTGTTCAAGTTCGAACTATTCCAATGCTCATTCAGCTAATTGCTAATGTGCCTTGGAAGGCAAAAGAAGGCTGGCACGAACACTGTCCCCAGCATCTATAACGCGACACGCAGATGGAGCTCGACCCCTGCTTTGGCCCACGTCGGCCATGGCCACTGCATCAACCAGAAAATGAACCGGCAGATACAAGATCTGTCTCAGTTGCCTTTGAAATAAAAAAAAAAAAAATTTTTAAAAATAAAAAGACTTTAAAGGCTATACTAACTTGTGACTAACAAAAGAGGGGCTGTGGGGTAATCTTATCAGGAAGCTGAATTTAATCAGTGTTTTCTGACTCTGACTTTTCCAGCTTTGTGCAGAGTTTGCCATCCAAAGTAACCTGAAGCAGAGCTTCCTGCATTTTAGCAGTAACAGGACAAAAGTCTTGGTCCCATGTTTTGTAAAAGCAACTCTCAGGGATCTGGGTCTACCCTTTTCACAATGAATCTAGACACAAAAGCATCTGAAAACAGATCATTAGACCGAATGATGTGCAGCTGTACTTTGTGTTAATTTCCAAAATGGAGTACAGAAAACACCTTGAGGCACAGACAGCCAGACAACCTGTGCTGGCCTCAGGACTGGTACCATCCACATGGTAAGAGTGAAGGCCAGCCAGAGTCCTCACTGTGGCTGAGACTGAAATGGTATCACATCTGTGCAAAAATGGTTCTATCCATTAATTTAAAATGCAGATTTTGTGACATACCTATCCTATTTCTAATTAGGCTTGCACAAATACACATACATACACACCAATGAATATCTACTTTAAAGCTCAACTAAGGTCAATTAGCTGATGAAGGTCTTGAGTTAAGCTTAGTGAGGTCATTACATTTCTGGTAGTAATAAACACAGACCAGGCCCGGCACAATAGTGTAGCGGTTAAAATCCTCGCCTTGCACGCACCAGGATCCCATATGGTTGCCGGTTCTAATATCAGTGGCCTTGCTTCCCATCTAGCTCCCTGCTTGTGGCCAGGGAAAGCAGTTGAGGATGGCCCAAAGCCTTGGGACTCTGCACCTGTGCGGGAGACCCAGAAGAGCTTCTGGCTCCTGGCTTTGGATTGGCTCAGCACAAGCCATTGTGGTCACCTGGGGAGTGAACCATTGGACGGAAGATCTTCCTCTCTGTCTCTCCTCTCTGTATATCCGCCTTTCCAATAAAAAAAAAAATAAATCTTTAAAAATAAATAAATAAAATAAACACTGACCACTCATTAGTACTGTTAGTGTTGTTCAAAATATTTTCTGGGGATAGGATGGTGGCTCAAAAGGCTAATGCTGTCTGCAAGTGCCAGCATCCCATAAAGACATCCATTCTAGTTCTAGCTGCTCTATTTCCAATCCAGGTCCCTGCTTATGATCTGGGAAAGCAGTGGAGCATTGCTCAAGTTTTTGTGGGCCCCTGCACCCATGCGGGAGACCAAGAAGCTCCTGGCTCCTGGCTTTGGACCAGGTTAGCCTCAGACATCTAACTGGGAAGAGAACCAGCAGACAGAAGATCTCTGTTTCTCCTTCTCTCTATAAATCTGCTTTTCAAAAAAGTTTTTAAAAAAACTTTATTGGAAAGTCAGATATAAGAGAGGAGGAAAGACAGAGGAAGATCTTTCATCTGATGGTTCACTCACCATACAGCCACAATGGCTGGAGCTGTGCCAGTCTGAAGCCAAGAGCCTCCTCAAGGTCTCCTACACAGATGCAGGGTCCCAAGGCTTTACGCTGTCCTTGACTGATTTCCCAGACCACAAGCAGGGAGCTGGATGGGAAGTGGGGCCGCTGGGACTAGAACCGGCACCCTTATGGGATCCTGGCGTGTTTAAGGTGAGTACTGTAGCCTCTAGGCTATCACGCCAGGCCCCAAAACAAATATGTATATAAAACCATTGAAGTGAAGCATAACAGAAACTCCAAGGCATAGGTTAAGAGCATTAGTTTGGTTTTAGCTATATGAGGGAAATAAGTAAGTCACTTGTTGTATCCTCTCATGTTGGTAAGAATATTGTACTGAAATTAGGAAGGCAGGTACAGGGAAGAAAAACTGGTATTCATACCTCCTCTTCCAGGATATCACAAGCCAGGTGAATGCGAGACACGTCTACTTGATGGGGCTCTGATTTTAATTTCTTGGATCGTAAACTCCAAAGTTTTATACAGGAGTTGTCAAACCCAGCAGCAAGCAGCTTGCTATCGGGGGAAATTTCTGCAGTGTTCAACAGTTGCTCTGTGTTGTAGAAGGCATAGAAGCAGATGGTAGTGAGGGAAGGAGGCCCGTCCTTGACACGCTTAATGCTCTCCTGCAAGACCTCCAGGGCAGCCTCATTCTGCAGAATGGGACTGGGCATGTCGGGGGGCTCTAAGCCATTGCTCTCACTGCGGGGAGAGCTACCGCTGGCGTAGAGCTGGTAGTCTGTTCTCTTCGCAGGCTGTACATCAAGATGAATATGTAAGGTGAGGATTTTGCACAGGGCAGTATTGTTGTCACTTTGGAGGTAGCGGATAAGGTAGTTGTAGCTGTCTTCTTGGAGACGGACCACGTACTTGTTATCTAGGAATGTTCGGAGCTTTAAGTTAGAGTGGATGTCCTGGATGGTTTGAGTGGTCTGTAGCTGCTCAATGACATCCTTCTGACTAGCATTCTGCAGAAACATTCCATGGAAGCGGCTGTAAAAACTTTCCACTGTGCTCTTCGGACTGTTCTGGACCAGGTTGAGATGGAGGTAGACAAAAAGAGGATACAGGAGAGGCATCACTTCATGGCTATGCTGTGAATCAGAATCTAGAATAAGAAAAAATAGAAAAGGAAGGGCTTTATAATCAGCATAATTTTATACAGTGATGTGATCCCTTCTGGAGATCCCAGTAACACAATACTTTGTCAGGGCCTTATTGTTTTGAGACTAATAAATATATCCCCTTATCATGTAACGTAAGGTATACTGACTTAGTATTACAGAATTTAAACACTATTAACTTTATATCAAAGTATATAAGTTACAAAATATCCTAGTAAGTAAGAAAGGAGAGAACATTCCAGGACTTTGCATCCTTCTCTCTGGAAAGGGTTTTAGTGCCTCCAGTTGTACACAGGAGAGTAGTCCGAACAATAGGCAATAGTGTGACTTTGTTCTTCATGTTCTGGTACATAGGTATGCACTAAAATAAAGATGTATATGGGTGCAAAGTCAACAGGGGTAGATTTACGAGGGTTAGTTTTAGATGTCTCCTGGCTAGGCCATCCATGAAGCCCAGGCAATTCATTAGACGTTATCCTAAGGCATTATTGTGATGACATTTTTAGAGAAGATGAACATTTACAACTGAGTAAAGCAAAAGACTCTCATAATAGGGGTGGGTCACATCTGTTCAGCTGAAGGTCTTACCAGGAAAGCACTCATCTCCCTGTCAAGCAGCAGCAATTATGCTGGGTGAGGACCTCTGCATCTGGGCCGTGACAGGAGCATCCCTGAGCCATCAGCCTGCCGGCCTGCCCCTAACAGCCTCCACAACATTGTGAGCCAATTCCTTAAGACACACGAGCTCTTCCTCTGGACAATCCTGCCTGATACGAATGTTGGTGCTTCTTTAAGTACTTCAGTCCTTTAGGAGATAGCCATATTCTCCTTCCTTCTTTACTCTTGAGCCCTGAAGATTCTGCCTTGGTATTTTAACTATGAAATCAGGACCCTGCCTTCCATTTCTACAAAACTGTCAAGTTCCAGTCCTTTATTACATTTCTTAATTAGTGCAGTCGATTTTAATGGGCTACCTTGTCATTGCACTTAACAAACCATTTTATAAACTGCTTTCAGACTTGGTATGCTCCCTTCTGACTTATGCCTCTCCACTTACTAAGTCCTCCCACTTCTCTTCTTCCAGTCTGATGAAACCTACTCTATCGTTCAGAGCACCAACTTAACCCTACTTCCTGCTCAGAAAAGGCTTTTCTAAGTCACTTTGTCCTTTCATTCCAAACGCAATTCTGTCATAAAATTCACCAATTAATCTCACACTGGTCTGTGAAAACACTTTCTACCATGTTCAAATTTTGTTTGACAACCACTTCACTGAGAGCTCTTCACAGACATGTGGGCAGAGACATGCTTCACTAAAAGCAGTCTATAAGCAAATAACATATTAGCCCTCTCCAAATAATCTGTGATCTATGGACTACAAAAATAAAACTCTAGAGAAAGTAATATACAACCTTTTCCTTATCAAATAAGATAAGAAATCATAACAGAAATGGCTGACAAGGTTATATTCTACTGAAATAGAAAGTTCTGGGTAAAGAAAATCACAGACATAATAAAGAAGGTAACATAATGTAGGGAAAAAAATAGTACCAACAAATGTAAGGAGTCAGGAGCTACTAAGAACATCAGGAATCCCCACTGAGAGATCAAAGGAAAAGAGATGTGAACATAAACATCTGTACCATGATAACCACGTTAGTTACCAATTAACTGCACTAATGCTTCACTGCAAATGTTAAGTCACAGTTCTATAATAATAAAAATATTCCAGTTACTCTGCATCCTGAACTGAAGTGCCAAAAAGTCCTGGTTACTCTGCTTTCAATCCAGCTAATGTGCCTGGGAAAGTGGTAGAAGATGACCCAAATATTTAGGCTCCTGCCACTCATGTGGGAGACGAATGGTGTTCCAGACTCCCGGCTTTGACCTGGCCTAGCCCTGGCTGTTGCGGCCATTCGGGGAGCCAAACAGCAGATGGATGACACTCTCTGCCACTCTACCTTTCAAATAAACAATAAGCAAGCCTTTTTTTTTCCTCAAAGATTTTTATGTATCTTTCTGGGAAAGGCAGATCTACAGAGAGAAGAAAGATCCTCTGTCCACTGATTCTCTCCCCAAGTGGCTGCAATGGCCAGAGCTGAGCCGATCTGAAGCCAGGAGCCAGGAGCCTCCTCTGGGTCTCCCACAGGGATGCAGGGTGCCAAGGCCTTGTGCCATTCTCTACTACTTTCCCAGGTCACAAGCAGGGAGCCAGAAGGAAGTATAGTAGTACGGAAATGAACTGGCACACACATGGGATCCCGGTGTGTGCAAGGTGAGGACTTCAGGCATTGAGCCATTATGTTGGGCCCTGAATAAATCTTTAAAAATACCAACAGATAGGACTGGTGCTATGGCCCAACAGGCTAATCCTCCATTTGCATCCCATATGAATGCTGGTTCATGTCCTAGCTGCTCCACTTGCCATCCAGTTCCTGCTGCTGATCTGGGAAAAACAGCAGAGAATGGCTCAAGTCTTTGGCCCCAGAACCTGCATGGGAGATCCAGAAAAAAGCTCCTGTCTCCTGATGGGTTCATCTGTGGCTGTTATTTGGGGAATGAACCAGCAGATGAAGATTTCTCTCTTGGGCCTGGCCTGATAGCCTAGTGGCTAAAGTCTTTGTCTTGAACGCACTGTGATCCCATATGGGCGCTGGTTCTAATCCTGGCGGCCTCACTTCCCATCCAGCTCCCTGCCTGTGGTCTGGGAAAGCAGTCCAGGATGGCCCAAAGTCTTGGGACCCTGCACCTGTGTGGGAGACCCGGAAGAACCTCCTGGCTCCTTACTTTGGATCAGCTCAGCTCTGGCCTTGGCGACCACTTGAGGAATAAATCAACAGACAAAAGATCTTTCTCTGTCCTCCTCCTCTCTGTATATACCTTTCCAATAAAAACAAATAAATCTTAAAAAAAATATTTTCCCCTTCTATCTGTAAATCTGCATGTCAAATAAAAATAAATACATCTTTAAGAAAAATAAAAACAGAGCTTTTGTTGTGGAATACTGGGTTCAGTCATTGCCTTGGATACCAGCACCCCCCCATGAGAGCCAGTTCTAGATCCTGCTGCTGCACTTCCAATCCAGCTGTCTGCTAATGTACAGAGGAAAGCAGAAGATGGTCCAGGTCCTTGAGCCCCTGGCATCCTCATGGAAGAAGCTCCTTGCTCTGGCCTGGCTTCACCCTGGCCACTGAGGAATAATTCCACAGATGAAGATTTGTCTCTCTTTTAGTTAAATAAGTACATTTTTTAAAAAACAAACTAAAAATGCAAACAAAAATCTCTGTAATGCCACCTGGATCTCTTGATAATGGGAATAAGCCATGTGTATGAGAAACATTTCACTGCCATCACTACAGTCTCTTTCCCTATTACAATTATTCCTTTGATGTTCTCTTATATGTCTTTCCTAATTAAATAGTATGGTCCACGATGGGAGGGACCATATCAATACATCTGATAATAAGCATCTGTTAGCATAAACACAGGCTGAAGAGTTAAAGAGAGGCTCAGGAGATGAGGAAGCTATTTCTCCTGAACCAGCTTCTCCATCACTAGAACAGCAACAGAGGTCTAGCAGAAAGAGAGGAATATACTCATATTTTGAACACTGAGTAACTTTTTAAAAGCTCATTTCAAACTCTTAAGGAACTGCTTAAATACCAATAATTAAAAGTAACTCATCATCTCTAAATTCTTCCTTACATATGAAAAACATTCTTAGGAAATATTTTTTTCCCTCAGTTGATCACTGTTTTGAGCTATGTAATATTCATTGATTATTAAGACCTAATGGAGTTTCTTTTTCAGTATAAACAGCAAGTTTTTTTTAACTGAACTTTCATTATCAATAGCATTTTAATTCCCCTCACTATAGATTATAGTAAATGTACATTCTTTCTTTTAAGAAGGCACAAAGGAATGGCTGATCATTAAGTAGAATCCACATGATTTCTTGTACTACAACTTCTAATTTTTGGGTCTGTTAATTCATTGGAATAATTGTCTCTTACTTTTCAAATCAGGAGCAAAGACCATTTTGAGATGTAGTATGTTATTGACATACATTTCAAGCGTGCTGCATCCGAGGATGAATCCACATGGCTGATTTAGCTTTCAATTACTTAACACAATCACAAGTCATAAGGCCATGGATCAAACAGCAGAACCCTTGCCCTGCTTAACTTAATCTTAGGATTTCATATGAGGAATTCTAATAGATCCTGAAAGAACAATGCTGAAGTACTTTTGAATCTTTACTACCAAGTATCATTCCTGGAATGTAGCAGCCTCCTAGGGAAATTGACATCATTCTTTTCCTTGGTAAAATAGGTTTCCTAGAGCTGCGTACTTACCAGTGAGAAAATTCCTCAGTCGTCCAAACTGTACTTCATATTGTTGGAGTTCTCCCTGGCAAGGGGCTCCATTCACCATATTGGCAAAACCAGATTCTGATTGAACTAAAGAGCAGAACACATACAATGATGGAAAGACAATTATTAATCCATAAGTGTGGCAGGACAGGTGAAAGACGGTGCTGAGCATGCAGTAATAGTTGTTGTTCTGATGTTATTTCTCAAGTTTTCTTTTGTTTCTTTCTATAATTTCTTCTAGGTGTAATGGTCCATGGCTTCCTCATGGAACCAGTGCTGATGGGAGAGATTGTTCCATCTTAAGTTTAACTACTACCCAAAGCAAAAGACTGAAGGAAATTGGTTCTGGGATCTAGCATATCCAGTTCAGCCTGGTAGATGAGTCACATGAGGTACATACACTTAAGATATTGTTAAAGGCACCCATGTCCTACATTAGAGAGCCTGGATTCAACAGCCAGCTCTGGCTTCTGGCTCCAGCTTCCTGTTTATGGTTACCCTGGAAGGCAAGAGTGACGGCTCACATACTCAGGTCTCTGCCATTCATGTAGGAGATGTGGACTGAGTTATCCACTCCCAGCTTTGACCCTAAGCAACCCTGGCTGATGGCAGACTCTTGTGGAGTGAACTTTGGGAGTTCATTCATTCATTTTCTTTTTCTCTCTCAAAAACAAAGAAACAAAGAATACTATGGAGACTGTGAGGGCAGGTTCCTGATTGGGCTTTTGTGAATGTCTCTGAGGAGAAAAGGATCCAGTATGAGCACAGGAGAATCAGGATTGCTGGCTAACATCACTGCACACAGGGGCTACAGCAGTTCACACCCCAAAGCAGCAGTGACGTTTTTCCAGAATTCCCAGTACTGTATACGGAATAAAAAACCCTATCATAAAAAACTAAATTCACAAAATAAGTCACAATTACTTAACATTCAGCTAGTCAAGACAAATTATGAAGATATTCCAAAAAGTTTGTGGAAAAATGAAATTAATACATGAGTTTATTTTGGTGCCATGAAACTTGAAAGTCATACAAACTCTTCCATGAACGTTTTGAAGAATTCCTCATAGATTTTACTCACAAAACCAAGCAAATTTTAAAAGCCGCAGGCAAATGTCCGTGATATTTATTTCCAACGCCTGATCCCATTTATCCAACGAATGTGACTGTGTGTGTGATGCTCCAAGGCAGAGGTGGGAACTGCAAGAAGGGAAGCTACTCTGTTCCTAAGGATCTCACAGGACAGGGGTATACAGAAACAAAGAGTAGGACGTCCCATAAGTACGGATAATGTGATCTGCGTGTTCCAAAGAAGGAATCATGAGCTCGGCCGGGGAGCCCCCAAGGCCTCACCCAGGAGGCAATGAGTGTGGACTGGAGGATGGGCAAGGACTTTGAGGCCAGCACTGTCCACCTGATGTTGCTCACTGCACTCGCCTATCTAGTGCTATCCTGAGAAGTAATACTACTGGGTACAGATGTCTGTTCTCCTGCAGTGGGCCTGTTAAACAGGAAGAGCTCTTCTCCCCCACCCCGTACCTGAGAAACTGGCCGCCATCTCCTCGGTAGTCTGAGACAGCCGCAGTCCTTGCTTGAGGGGACCGTCTGAGTCCATGTACTGCCGGCGTTTGAGGTAGCAGGACACTGCCATCTGAATCTGCTCGGTGCGCACTCGTTTCATGACCTTGTGGGAGGGAACCACAAGATGCAGAGAATAAGGGGTCTATCACAGATGGGAAAGTCAGCAGAGGAAGACGAGCCATGTGGCTAGGTAACGACAAACCCAGTGTTCTCTCCATTTGATTTATGTTCTCAATGACAATAGTCATCTTCAATTATAACAAACAGGCAGAGCATGAGTAACAAACCCTACAGATCACCCCAGACTCTATTTAACACCATGGTTTCAATTAGCCCCATGGAACTTTCATTAGGGATGCCAACAAAGAATAAACAGGGCCAGTATGAATATCAGAGCCTTTTATCTCTCTTGTCTAACTGTGAGAGATGTGTTGATTAGCAGTGCACCAGCCAACAAAACAAGCAGGAGCTGGTACAAAATCAAAGACCAGAGAAGTTCAGAATCTGGGTAAGTAGATGTTGACAGAAGAAGTTAAGAATGAGGAAGAAGGATGTAATATTTTTTTTTTGCTGGGAAAAGGCTACCAGCTCTAAGAATCTGAACTATATGTTTTCATTTTTAATAACTTATTTACCTCTTTTACAATTTATTTGAACTACAGGAACAGAAAAGCATCAAAACAGTAAAAAGATACACATATGTGCTATAATATGTCTCAAAAATTCTTGAAAGTGGTAGGAAAAGATAAAATCCATTTTTAATAATTACAGCTAATCTGATACCATTAAAAAATAAGAAAAAAGGAATAATTTCTCTTAATTACCAGTTTCTAATTTTATTATCAAGAAGACAAAAACCCTAGTACTGTGGTCTCAAACACTACACTTTGCCCACCCCCGCAAAAAACAAAACAAAAACACTGCCATAGAAGATGATCAATGACAACTGAATTTTTTCCTTTTTCTTGGAGTTCAGAAAGCTGCGTTTATTTCTTTAAATATTTTTAATATTCATTTGGACACACAAATGATTTTTTTATTTTAAATTTTAATTTTTGACAATGTTTACATAATTGATAAGGGTGGGAAGGATCGAGGTTAGGGAAAAATGGTGTGATCACTGTTTCCAAATTTATGAATATTTTAGATTTGCTCTGTCATATAAAATGCATTTTTAAAAATATTTATTTATTGAAAAGTCAGATACACAGAGAGGAGGAGAGACAGAGAGGAAGATCTTCCATCCGATGATTCACTCCCCAAGTGAGCGCAATGGCCAGTGCTGTGCTGATCCGAAGCCAGGATCTAGGAACTTCTTCCAGGTCTCCCACCTGGGTGCAGGGTCCCAAGGCTTTGGGCCGTCCTTGACTGCTTTCCCAGGCCACAAGCAGGGAGCTGGACGGGAGGTGGAGCTGCTGGGATTAGAACCGGCGCCCATATGGGATCCTGGCGTGTTCAAGGCAAGGACTTTTGCTGCTAGGCCACGACGCCGGGCCCATAAAATGCACTTTCACCTCTGGGATCAAAGCATGGCATCCACAACTTGCAGCCACTCCCTCCAAAGCAACATCTCCAAACCAGGGTTCCCAGCTGTCTGGGGTTAGATGTGGATGTTTTAAGTTATCAGTTCTGCGACATATAGTGACTTCCCCTATGAGTGCTTTCACCTTTTTTTAAATTTTTTTTTTTTACATTTTATTATTATTGCTATCACTTTATGATACAGTTCCATATTCCCTTATCCCCTCCCCAATTACCTCTCCCCCACCCCACCTAGTTCCTCTATATCATTACTAACATATAGTTCTTCAGAGTCAGTCATATGTCCATCATTGCGGGCATGGACAATGGCAGAGCTCCAGAATCCTATTGTCAAAAACACAGTCAGCAGTTTCATTGTAAGTCCATATTTGTCTGGAAACAGAAATGCATACAACACTGCATCCTCACATCTGGATGTTAGTCTCCATTTCACAGCTGGTTTGAAGAGATGAAACCAACAGAAAATAATAAAACCCATGTGGTATAGTTTCCATTGATCTTTGTTGAAGTGTGTCTCCTACAGACAATAAACAGATGAGTTTTGAGTTCCAGTCTACTAATCTATGATGTTTGATTGAGCTTAAGCCATTTACATTCAGAGTTAAATATACATGGATGGCACTTTGGTCCTGTCATTTTAGGAATGGGTTGTTCATTGGTTTAGTCTTCTGTTGTCATTTTACTGGGATGTTCTTCCCATTTGCCTTTGGTTTTGGTAGGTGCTATTCCTCTTCTGTCAAGAGAACATCTTTCATCTCTTTTCTTTAAAAAAATAAAAGTTTTCTCTCTTTTAAAAATTATTTGGTTTTGTTTGTTTATATTTATTTGAAAAGAGAGAGAAGAGAAATCAATCTCCCATTTGCTAGCTCATTCGCCAACAATGGGGCAGGGGCCGCTGAAGCCAGAAGCCTGAAACTCTGTGGAGGTCTCCCTGGAGTGGCAGGGAACCAAAGCTGAGTCATCACCTGCTGCCCAGAGTGCACCTTGGCAGGAGGCTGCATCAGAACAGGTGGGAGTCACTCCAGGCACTCCAACACGGAATGCAGACGCCTCTAGCAGTGGTTTATCTGATTACAGCACAATACTAGCCCTCTAAACATTTTTAAGATTATTTGCATCTAATTGTTAGTCATCTATAATTATATTTAGTGAAAAATGTATGGTGAATAATCAAGCGTTTTACTCAGTTACTGTAGCTAACACACTGTCCCTGGATCATTTGTAAACAACCCTTTCCTTCTAAATTGACCCGTGGTAGATATTCTGAAATCTCATTTCATTTTCCTAAAAGTCACAAACAGAACAAATGCTGAAGGCAGCACCTATCCCCCCATAAACACACACACAGGAAAGTACATACATTTGCATCTTTATAAATGAATGGAAAATGTTAAGGCATATTTCTGTTCAACTAGGCACAGAGAAAGATCACATTATTTGCAGTTAATTTCAGGATTACCAAGAGTACAAAATATTTGTAAAAGGAGGGGTACTGTGCCTGACATGGTTGTAAATTCAGTGATATAAAGAAGTACACTAATATATTTCTCAATACTGAACTATTTTCCCACTGTAGAATTTGCCTTAGTAGAGTAGAAATGTTTGCACTGTATTTTTCTGCTCAAGATTCTTTGTATTTTTAATACAAGGAGTCTAATCCTTTGAGTAGAACCATTGCCAATGAAGACACAATTGCTTCTTTGTGGCTATTAAGCAGCATTACTGCATCAGTTGGACTGCATTAAACAGTTCTCTAACCTGACTACACATATGATTCCCCTGTGGGTGCATGTACCTATTCAAATAACTGCAGCCCTTAATATCTAGGATATACAAACAATTCCAGAAACACAACAAAACAAGCAAACCAGTTAAGAAATGGCCAAAGGAAATGAGCAGACATTTTTCAAAGGAACAACTCCAAATGGCTAACAAACAAATGAAAAAGTGATCAAGCTCCCTAATAATAAGGGAAATTCAAATAAAAACCACATTGAAGTTCCATTTAACTTGTATGGGAGGCGAGTGAGATCATTCCAGACATGTCTAAGGTTTATTAAGGTGTCTTTATTAACCAAGCTTGGTGATAACAGAGCATACTAGAAATAGCGAATCACAAGCTCATATGGCAATCCAACCAAACATAATCCAACCAAACATAATCCAAAGGGGAACAAATGGTCATTACCCTTATGTTCATTTGTTAAGCTGAAGTCCTATGTCCCAGTTTCCCCAACAATAAATATGTTATCCTAAGAGACATGCAACGAATAACTTGAACACACAAAGCTGTACATATTCACCTTTCCATGGCTTCTCTGCTTACATTCCACTACTGCCAGGCCTCACCTCTCCTGGAACTCCTGACAGCACAAAAACCAGAAACAACATTGCTATATCCATTGTCCCATCTAAGCAGTATACAGGGACTATGCTCAGGGGATTACCTGTCCTGGGTCAGCCAAGAGGTGCCAGAGCAACAGAAGCACCTGATCAGAGAGCGAGCCCCCGCTTCAGGGCCTTTTAACGGGCTTGTGAGGGGAGTGTTTACACAACAATGCAATACTGTCCCTTCTCAGATGATAGGTGAGTCACAGGTGATGGTGTTGGGGGAAATGAATGAGGATGAGGTCCATTGCTGTTAGGACCTACCATCAGAACAGAAGGTAGGGGACCCAGCCCACTGTCAATGGGTGCTGGCTATCACTGGCTGCACCCCGTAACAAACTCCAGTGAGAATGGCCCCATACAGAAAACCACCAACAACACCTGCAAGTGTTGATGTGGGGGAAAAAAGGTAACTTACTCTACAGCTGTAGAAGGACTTTGTGATTCTAGAAGGGCAGTGAGCATAGGATTACAATTCATAGCATAATATTTGTATGAGAACAGCTGATTGGATACCATTTGTATAACTGATTGGATATCATGTGAATGAGAACACTTGATGGGATATACAAAACAGTTCCAAACAGGGGTGTGGAAACAACTGATGGGTCCCATAAGTAAGCTCAATACCTCCTCCCTTATGTGACCCTCAGTCTATAAAAGTCTGATGCCACTAATAAACTTCAGCTAGCTCACCAAGATGGTAGTCCACACGTGTCATTATAGGCTCTGTGCACCAAGTCCATTGCTGCAGGACAGTGAACATACAGCCTGGGGACTGTTAGTTATTTAAAACAATTAAAGTTCTAGTTATTACGATACAACACGCAGCTAATTCCTGCAGCCTGGTTCTTTACCGTGAGCTGAAAACACCAGATGCAATGAGGCATCTTAGGAGGTTTCATTTCAGCGGGGCAGGAATGGGATGGGGGTGGTGGTACACCAGTGAGTGAAAAAAGGGAAGGGTGGGGAGGCCAGAAGGAGGAGAGTGTACCTGGGCCTTTATGTCATTCAGGTGAGCCCGCAAGGTAGGGGGAGGCGGGGAGTGGGAGGGATTGTGGGCAGGCCCCAGGGGATTGGTGCCTGAGACTGTCACAGGTGATTGCCTAAGAATGATTGGTAAATGAGGCAGAGTTGGGGAAGGGACTGGGAGATGGGGGTGGGATTCTCAGG